ATTGAAGCTAGATAGTGGGCATATGGAGCTTCAGTAATACATTCCAGAATAAATCATTCCAGTTCTTGGGAAATAACATCTGTTCTGTAAATTAGAATAGAAATATAAAAAGAAATATTTCTGAAGGAACCGGGGGCAGTTTTAATTAGCTGGAGATAATAGTATAAATCAGAAAGCTACCTCTAACTCCCTTAACTGACAAGGTAGGAAATTTGTAACAAGGGAGGAATTTGTCAGGTTAAGAAGTCTTGTCCTCTAGCCCTTTTTTCTGGAGTCATTCCCCACGACCCAGCACATCACATGGAGCTCATTTTTAAAATATATCTTTCAGGAGCACATTCCTTTGTGTGTACACAACATGAAAATAACTAGAGGTAATAGAGCTGCAGGTATTTATTGCATTTTGATTATGTGCCAGTCACTGTAATGAGCCTGGATGATAGAAACCATTGACTTTTTTTTTTTTTTGACACTGGGGATTGAACTCAGTACCTTGCATTTGCAAGGCCGGTGCAGTGCCAGTGAGCTAAATCCCTGGCCTGAAACCATTGATTTTAAAGAGCTGACATTCTAGCAGAGGGAAAGGGAGCACAGTGTGGTTGTAAAACAATAGATCTGTGATTAAAGTCCACACCTTGGCTGGAGGGAGGGGTTGGTGCATGGTGGCCCCTAAAGAGCAGCCACCCCACCAGCACCCAGACACCTGGCCTGGCCTGGCCCGCGAATCCTGGACTAGGAAGTAGTAAGGTCAGTGTTGGCAGACACAAAAGCTAAAGAGTCAGGTACGAAAGAGCTCGTATTCAGGCCAGGGTTTTGGTTGGAGCTGTACTTTGGCACATGCCATTGGTGATTTTAGGCTGGAGAATGGTGTGGTCAGAGCTGCCACCGGGAATTCTTTTCTAGGGAGACTTGACCTCTGATTATCTCTTCCTGTCCCTATGCTTACATGTGAGCTACAGTGTTTTCAGTTACAAGGAGTAGAAAATGCAGCTGCGGTGGGTTGTCCAGGGTTCAAATGTGTCCCCCAAAAGTGTGTGTGGAGGAAGCCCAGCCCCCAGGGTACGTTTGCAGAGCCTGTGAGGGCTGGAGCTGAGGAAGGTCCCTGGATCACAGACCTGCTGCCTGTGGGAAGGGCTGGTGTAGTTCTCAGCCGGCTCCACTCCCTTCTGTCTGTGGCTTCCAGTCTGGGATGTGACCGCTCATCCCACCCACGCTTCTGCCATTGCCATCTGCCTCTATGTGACCCAAGCCAGGCCCCAGCCAGCGCTGCGTCAGTGCCTGCCACCTGCCCGGGAGCCTCCTAAACCTACTTTAAAGCTGGACAAGCCTGTTTGCTTTATAAAATCAGCTTCCCTCAGCCATTTCATTACAGTAATGAAAATGGACCGATACAGTGGCTTAAACCTGACATGATTGGCCCTCGGAACCATTGTGCTAAATGAAGTAAGTTAGTCACAAAAGGGAAAATACTGCCCACTTCCGCTTACATGAGGTCTGAAGGAAGTGGGCTTCACAGAGGCAGAAAGTGGAGTGGGGGTTGCCAGGGACTGTGGAGTTACTCTTGACCAGGGGCTGGCAGAGTTTCAGTTTTACAGGATAAAAAAGCTCTGGAGGCGGATGCTGGTGAAGGCTGCACAGCAGCCTGAGTGTCCTCGGTGCCACTGAACTGCACAGCAAAAAAAGGTCACAGTGCACATTTTGTGTTGATTTGTATCATAAGGAAGATACTCCCAAACATGGCTTACACCAAATCGAAAATACACCCTTTGGAAACATGCCTGTAGATAGCAAAGCTCTGGACTGGGTCATTCCTGCTTCACCAGTATCAGAAGGAACCAGGCTGCCGCCATGCGCACATTCCTTCCGCCCTGGCAAGACAGCCATCTCAACCAGAAGTCACTTTCCACTTCCTGAGGATCAGGCTCAGAGCACAGAGGGCCCTAGCCGGGCTGGAGCCCCTGTCTGTCCACGCCTTGACTTCCTGTGGGGTGGACCTGCTCCAGCCTTTACCTCAGGTCAGTTCGGTCTGCACAAGGAAAAAGCAAAGCCTGCTGTCTGCTCCGAATGAATGAGCCAAGCCAGGAACTTCTTGTTATTTGGGGAGGAAACTAAGTTTAGGAACCGAACACATTTCTGGCCAGTGGGACTCGGAACAGAAAGCTCAGTGCTGAATGATTCCAGGTACGTGCGGTGCCCGTGACTGCTGCTCAGGGCTTCCTACTTGCTCTCCCATCCAACTCCTTCCTTATTTCACTGAATTCTTTGGGCAAATTGAGCTCTCAGCGCAATTGAAACAAACAGATGCGCTTTCTCAAGATTTTTTTTTTGGTCCCAGGGATCGAACTCAGGTCCTTACGCTTGCAAGGCACGCGGCGTAACCACTGAGGTAAATCCCCGGCCCTCAAGGTTTTTTTTTTAATTGAAGTATAACACACTTGATTTTTCACACAAGACTGGGGGTGCAGTTCACCCACGTTGTGGCAGATAACTACAGTTTTTGTGGCTGTATCATATTCCCTTGAATGAATATACCAGTTTTCCCATCCTACTGCTGATGAATATTTGGGTTCTTTCTAGTTTGGAGATGTATAAATAACATGCCTTTTCGTGAACATAAACATTTCTCTTTTCACTCAAGAGTGACGTTGCTGGGTAGTGGGGTACCCTGTGGCCCTAGACCCACAAATGATGTGTGCTCTTCTGATGAGAATCTCCTCTCTTCCCCGAGCCTGAGCTGCTGCCTGCGCCCATTTCTCTTCATGTCTTTGTCTTTCTCTTGCTGTACAGCAAAGCCCAAGTCAAACAGAAGCAGTGATAGTAACACAGGAAAGGTGAAGAGTTGCCCTTGGGGTGCTCCAAGCAGACAGCAGCCTGGGCAGAGCCCGGGAGCTGGAGGCGGAGTCCGAGTAAACTTGTGGATGCTGGGAAGATCCCCGGGGAGACCAGTAGCTGTGTGCAGCTCAGCTGCCTCCGTCACGACAGCTTCTGTACCACGTGCTTAACACCGAAAAGATCTTGAAACAAACATGGGAAATCCTGTTCCCAAATAGCAAATGTTTAGGTTAAAGATTAGGATAGACTTGCAAAAGCTAACAAGTATTTGCTTTCCTGCTGGGAGCTTTTGTCTTCCATTTAATTTACTCGTTAAATATTTATTGGACACAATCAATACCAATCGCTCAAAACCCGATGGTGAACAGGGTACACTGGAAGTGACACCATGGAGCTGGCAGCCCGGAAGCAGCCATAGCTCGGCACCTAGAACCTCGGAGGTGTGGCCTAGCACAGAGGCCAGGGGCCTGCACGGAAGTAACTCGGGCTGAGGTGTAGAGAGCCTGATGCTAGGGAAGGAACCAGGCAAGCCCAGGGGAGCCAGAGACAGTTGGAATTCACTGCAGCATCGCAGGGAGAGGAACCCAGAGACATCCCCAGACACCCAGTCCCGAAGTGCTGGCAGCCTCAGCTGCAGCCGCCAGCCTCTCTGAGAGATTTGTCTTCTCCAGACTCTGGACAGAGGGTTTCTGTCCCATTTATTCCTCAGCATCCTAGAGATTCAGGTCTGCTGTTACAGACGAGAAAGTGGAGGTTGGGGAATTCGGGAAAAGGTATAGATCTCAAGCCTGTGTCTCCCTGGTCCAGAAGCCCCTGCCCTAACCACGCCTGTGAGCCAGGCTCTGCCCTCAGCTCAGTGCTTACCCGTGGTCAGGCGTTCTTTGACAGACATCACTTGGGAGAGTGTATCGCAAACTTAAGTCTTAAACAAGTCCCTTTTAAAGAAAGAAAGTCCATGGACCTTAAGTCTTGATTTCAATCAGTTAACATTCCTTAAATACTGAGACAGCAAGAAATACCTAACAGCTCTCTGGCCGCCTTTTCTGACACAGAGCTCCTAAAGCCCTTGGAACTTCCTAGGTAGTGGGAGGTGACTCTTGGTGGAACCCTTGATAGGGGCTGGTCCCCAAGGAACTGAGCCTTGGTTAGAAGCTTGAAGCTTTCCGCTCCACCCCCATCCTGGGGGAGAGCAGGGGCAGGAAGCTGAGTTAATAATCGATCTTGCCTGCACAATGAAGCCCCTAAAAATCCCAAAAACCTGGGTTCCGAGAGCTCTCTGGATGGTGAATGCATCCATGCGCTGGGAGGGTGACACACCCTGCACCTGGCTGTTCATCTGTACCCTTTGTTGCGTCCTTTAATAAACCAGTAAACATTAAGTAAACATCCCTCTGGGTTCTGCAAGCCCTTATAGCAGGTATCTCTGAGGAGGCTCTGTGGGAGCCCCCAAACTGTAGCCAAGCCAGACAGAAAAAACCAGGTAGACCCACATGTACAAGTGATGTCTGAAGTTGGGGACAGTCTTGTAAAGCCAAGCCTCAACTGCATGGGGCCTGTGCCAACTGAGCAGCTGGTGTCAGATCTGAGTTAAGTTGTGGGCCACCCGGTTGGTGCCCACAGAGCAGTGGAGGATTGCACAGTACAAACACCCCACCTTTCAGCCAACTCACCTCTCTGAGGCTGGGGAGGGAGAGACTTGTCCGGAACCCCTTCTGTGCCTTGAACTCTGGCACCAACCTGGTTGGTTGCGTGCACCTTTGCTTGCAGGGCCATGTCAGGTAACCAGGTACCCTGGACGTCCTTTGGAGTCCAGGAGTCTCACACGGTAGGCCCCCCGTCCTCATTCTCCTGCAGCACTGCTCGAGGGTGCCACCCAGGCCCTGAAACGGCGAGCGTGCACATTTGCTGGGGCCCACGGATATGCAGGACGCGTACCACATGCTGTGTTAGCATCAAGGAAAGAGACTTGCTTCTGCCCACACAGCAGCTGCTGTATTTTTATACAGCTTGAATTCAACATGATAAAAATGTTGCAAACTTATTAAACTGGGACTCCACCTGGAAGGGGGTTTGGCCTCTGAAGGAGCTCAGGGGGCGGCAGTTGCTGACGTGGGAAGGTTACTACAGGGATGCTGATTAGACCTCTCTCCACTTTGGCTTCTCCACAGGAGTTGGCACCAGGAATTATTATAGGAAGATTGGCTACAGATTACAAGGCCCGTACATGGTGAAGATGCTAAAATAATGGCCACCGCAATCCCCCTTCATGCAGCACCCTCCCTGGCAGAAGACAGCAGATCCGCAAAGCAGACGGACCTCCACTGTCCCCTGACGAGGACGGCACCTCCTCCTGTGGCTGCGGTGACTGGGAACTTCCTTCAAAGCTGGGCCACAGGAGCCTGGAGCCACCCTCACCTGTGTGTGCCCAAGAAGTCTCTTCAGTTTTAGAGGTTTAATGATTTCTCCAATTTTCACAGTCTGCATGTGGGCTGCAGGTGACCTGTTTTTATTCACCGACAAGAGCAGATCAGCTGATTTGCACAGCGTAGCTCTTGAAGTGGGACTCGTGATAGTCATTTGAGGAGCAGCCTCGGGAGAAAGCTATTTATGTACTCTAGGGATGAAAGTCAAGTTGGGACATATAAAAACCATCACGCTTGGCTCCCTGGCCTTTAACTACATAATGCATTTACCCAGGAGTTAAGAAAATGAGCTTTTATGTTAATGGAAATGGTTACCATGCTGATGCTTTGACAGAAGGCTGATGGGGAAAGAGGAGTCAGGCTAAGGTTTTGTGTTAAACTTGATGGCAGCTGTCGCCAGCCCCTGCCATCCGGGAGCATGCCCTGCGCTGGCCATCAGAGCCTCCTGTGTCCAGGCGAGGCTGTCTGTACTTCCCATACACTGCTGATGCAGAGCAGTGTGGAAAGCCGTGGGGAGGTGCTGGAGAGGCCTGGGCTGTCCGTCCGTCCATCCGTCTGTCCTCAGCAGGCAGCATCCACCAGGAACAGTCAGGTGTGTGGCCCTCAGGCAAGATTTGCTTCCAGCCACAGAAGCTGTTCCCTGCATTTCATTAAAAGTGGATGTTGATTTGTGTTTAAGGCAGAAAGATGAAACTTTAGACTCAGCTGTGAAAGCAACAAAATGGAAAGCAGGCTCCAACGTAAAACTCGGGGAGTGATTGTTGTTTTCAGAGGCCTGTCTTGTACAGCTGCTTCCAGAGACCTCCTCGGTAACATGCTCAGGAGCCTCAGCCTCTCCGGGGCAGCTCCTGCTGGGACAGCATGGCTTCACCCTGGGCCCTGGGTTCTGTGTCACTCACAAAGTCTAAAGGCCTGAAAATAAAAGTCCTCAATGCACGGAGTCATGTGGTTTCGGTTTTTGGGTTTCCATGTCCCTGTAAATGCAGTGACATTTGCCTTGAGTTCACAGGTTCCAGTTTCCAACCTGTGACACTACTCATTTTCTCCTGTGTGCCTTTTGCCACTTCATTAAGCCGCTGCGAGGCAAACGGTGTGGCTTTCTATGGGCGCACTGGGGCACTCCAACAGCATTCCATGGGTGTGGCTTAATTAGGCTCTTTTTCCCTACAAAAGTAAAACTGTTTATTAAGGCACTGGCTGTCACACACACTGTCCAGGAGGTGGCGCGCCACCTACCACTTGCCCTGGGTGCACAAGGGTCTCCCTGAGCTCGTGCACAGAGAAGGGGGAAGCACCCTCACCTCTCTGGCCTTCCGTTCAACAGCCATTGCTCAGGACAAGTGAGAAATATCACTAAACGGTGATGTTTTATGAGCCATGGTTTCTATTCTAATGAAGCAGCTTCTCTACAATGTGTGACCTTGGACCAGTAAACTGAATTTTTCCTCATCTGTAAATGAGAATAATAGTACTGCCTCCCCAGATGTTAGGTGGCTCGTGTACATCAGGTTCTTAGAACAGGGTCTGTAGGGCATAAGACACACTGGAAGCACCAGCTAGTGTTACTGACATCTAACAAGTATGATATTGGGCCCATTTTTTTAGGGAGGGAGTTTCTAATCAGCTAACAGAATCTCCTTTTTTTCCCTGCGCTGTTTTTGTAGAAAGCATCTGGTGCTGAGGCCCTGCCTCTCCATCCTCTAGTCTGCCTTTCGCTCCCATTCATGGAAGTCTAGCATTGCAAATTGTCGGAAATATGCCTTAGGAGATGAGATACTAGCTGAGGTGGCAGCAGGAAAAAGCTGCTTTTTTTTTTTTTTTCTTTTGTCACCAGGGATCAAACTCTGGTCCTTGCGCTTGCGCAGCAGGCGATGAAACCACTAAGCCAAATCCCCAGCCCGGAAAAAGCTTCTTTAAATGCCAGCATCACTCAGGGGGCTTTCCAGAAGCTGTCCAGTGTCAGTGTGCTTGGCTGATCTGCAGTGCCCGAACCAGAAGCCATGTCCACCAGGGAGTCCCACCAAGCGAGTCCTCTGCCATTGGTGGCAGGAGCAGGCGTGTGTCTCTGTAGTAGAGTCACCTACACCAGCAGGGCCTTCATGCTTCTGAGACTTAGAATTCCAAGTAAAGCAGTGACTCAGCCAGCCTTTCTCAGGCCGCACTGTGCCACTCTTCCTGCTTGGGAGTCAGGAGGTGGAGTTTTCAGCTCACATTGAAGAGGGTGTTAATGGGTACTGAGCACCAAGTACTAAGCACTGTGCTGGCATGGTTATTTTATCCTCACCCCAGCTGGTGAGGAAGGTCTTGTATCACCATCCAGCTTTTATACCTGCAGGGAGTGGATGTGTGGATGACTTCATTAGAGAGAAGGCAAAGGAAGCAGTCTGCTCTTTGTACTTAAATAAGAAGAGCTTGTTCGGGTTCTAAAGGTTGTATATGCTCACTCTAACAAATGTAAAAGGGACCGAAAAGCACATGAGCTGAACACTAGCAAAGACGACTGTGGTTGACAGTAGCAAGTGTCCCCCCAACCCACACACACACACAGTTTATATAAAGCAGCCACACTGTGCGTGGACTCAGCAGAACACCAGGTGAGCGTCCTCCCATGTCAGTGTAGATCTGTTCCCCCTTAGCGTTGACCACCAGGCTGTCCGCTGTCTGCAAGGGTGCTGTGGCTTGGATGCATCCCCCAAAGTTCATGTGTTGGAAATTTAATCCCCAACACAACCATGCTGAGAGGGGACCCTTGAAGAAGTGATGAGGTCTCCAGGGCTCTGCCCTCCAGAAGGGATTAATGCTCAGATTGCAGACTAGGTTCCTGTTTCTTTTTTCCTTTTGCAATATAGAACCCAGGCCTTTGCACTGAGCTATATACCAGCCCTTTTTTATTTTGAGTCAGGGTGTCACTAAGTTGCCCAGGGTGGGCTCAAACTTGTAAGCCGTCTGCCTCAGCCTCTCTTGAGTGCTGGAATTACAGGCATGCACCACCACCCCTGGCTGCTTCTTGCCCTTCTGCTTTTCACTGTGGGACGGCACAGCAAGAATCCCCCACAGAAGCAGGTCGTTTGACCTTGGACTTCCAGCCTCCATAACTGTAAGAAATAAATCTTGGTTCCTTAAAGAATACCCAGCATCGTGTATTCTGTGATAGAGCAAAAGACTGGTTCAAGGTACCACCATTTAAGGAAGCAGGGTTCTGTGTCTAATCCATGTAGGTTCTCACTGTCGGAACACTTAGAATCAGGTTTTAAGCACAGGGCTGTGCAAACGTGCAGATTGAATCCTAAGATTCACCTTAGATTTTTTCTTAAGCGGATTCACTCATCCAAGGCCAATGGCCTATGTTCTGCCCTAAGGTTGTCCCCTACCTTCCCACTCCTCGAGCATGGCCTGCCTCATGGGTTGAGAGGGGAGCAAGCCTCTCTGTCTGCTGCTTGGCCTGTCTCGTTCAGAAGGTAGCAGCACCCTCGATCATGACCAATCCCATCACACAAAATGTCAGGGCGCCTGCTGGCTGGGAGGCACTGGAGCGTGAACGTCCTTTATTGAGGTCTCTCCTCCCTTGATGTATGGCTTTGAGTCATGACCATTCCATGCCAGCTGCAGCACCCTGGAGAAGGTCACCCTCTTGTCTCAGGTTAGAAAATGTGAGCATGGGGAGACGTGACGGTACCTGCTGTCACCACCAGGGCAGGCAGGGGACAGGCTGTCAGTACAGACCCCACTCCCACCACCCCCAGGAAGAGCAGCCTGGTGTTTTGCCACCAGGGTTCAGGGATTGCTGCTGCTTCTGGCCAGTTCTGTAGGGACAGGATGTGGTCACCTCATGTTCAGGCAGTGGGCAGAGGGTCACCACACCTACCCAAGGAAAGGAAAGGACAGGAGCCCTGGAGACCAGGGACAGGAGCTGTGTGTTGAGCAGAGTGCCGTGCCTGGAGTCCCTCATGAGCACCCTGGGAGGGGAGCACTGTGGTCTCCCTTGGCCAGGGACATCCCACAGTTCAAACCAGGGAAGTGACGAGCCAGGCCACAAGGTAGCCAGTAGAGAGCTGGTTGTGAAGGCAACGAGCTGATATTGGCACACTTGCAAAATTTCAAGGATTCTCATACCTGGGAACAGAGGTGGCACGAGGGTTTCTAAAATAAAGGTTCAGGCTGGCAGGAGGGTTGGAAAAGGGTCAGACTTGAAGCAGACAATGTTTGCCCCACCCCAGCTGCCCAAGCCCCACTTGGCACAACCACCAGGGAGCTCCCTCGAGGGAGTGCCCTTGATGAAGCAGCCAGAAGAAACATCCAGACAAGGAGTGTGGGAGTGGGAAACATGGAATGAAAGAGCCAGGGGCAGAACTGGAACAAACACTGAAAGTCTCTGTTGTAGAAAGCAGTGGACACTTCTGAGTTAAAAGGAAGATTCAGTCCACACATCTCATTTTGCTTCTTTCCAGCACACACAAGACTAAGGTGAATGAGTTCTCTTAGTAACACATAAACAAGCAGGATATGGCAGTGCACACCTGTGATCCTAGCTACTCAGGAGGCTGAGGCAGGAAGATCAATAGTTCAAGAGCAGCTTGGATGATGTAAAGAAACCCTGTCTCAAATTTTAAAAATAAATTAAAAGGGATGCAGTGGGCTGGAGGCAGTCTGGATTGAGCGCAGGGTGTTTGAGTTCCTGGGCTACATTTGCCGTGGGTTCCAGGTCAAGTATATAATCAATTTGGAGTCTACCTTTGGCTAAGGTATTAGACCTCAGGCTTCTGAGAGGATGGTGGAATGGTGAATAGTAGAGAAACAGCCTCTCCTAGATTTGGTGTCGAGACACTGGAATATACCAACATGAACAAGAGAAGAAGGAGGAAAGTGGGTCCGTGAGACCCAGAAAGGATCTGAAATGAGAATTGGAGCCAGTGGGAAGAGCAAAGAAAGAGACCTCGATGCAGAAGAAGGAGGTGGCAAGCAGTGCTTCCTCCTTGAGCCCTGACTCCATGGGAGGGATGGCTTGAACCTGCAGCTGCAGGATGGCTACTGGCAACCCCAGAGGCCTCCACAGTGAAATGCACCAGTGGAATGTAGCAGTGAATGCAGCAGACTGCAGTGGCTGGTGAGTTATTCGGGTTCAGATGGCCTCCAGGAGAGGACAGTTAGCCAATAGCCTTCTTGGAGAGAGGACAACTGAGCTTGGAACTCAGAGCAGCTGCAGTCTGGCTCCATATAGCAGCTCCCAGTGTCAGGGTGAGCTGGAATCAAGTTCATCAGCAGGAGTCAAGGAACCAAGTTCAAGCTGGCAGGAGTCACACAGAGTGTTGTAGGCTGAACAAATTGGGTTCCAGCCTTACAGCCAGAAATCAGCTTGAACTTCAGTGAGACTAAAGATGCATACTTGCTGGGATTATCCACTACCCCACCAGTAAATGTATGTCTGGCTTGCTGGGATTAATCAACAGGGATCTGGGATCTGAGCACTCTGTTTACCAGTGACAGCGGAGACATGCCCTGAAGTGAACTTTTTCTTCCTCTTCCTCTTCCTCTTCTTCTTCTTTCTTCTTTCCTTTTTTTGTTTTTGTTTTTGTTTTTGGTACTGGGGATCGAACTCGGGTCCTTGCACCTGCGAGGCAGGCGGCAGAACCACTGAGCTAAATCCCTGGCTGCTTTTTGTTTTGTTTTGCTTTTTCTTGATTGTTTTTGTTTTATATGAGAGCAAACATTGTTTCTAGTTTTTGTTGTTGTTGTTGTTGTTGTTTTGTTCTGTTCTTGTTTTTACTTCTTCCTTCTCTCTTTCCCCCCTTCTTCACCAGTTTCCCAAAGTTCTCATAATCTTCCTTTGGCCTCTAGCCTTGCTTCTAATCTCTTCTTCTTTTTCTTGTTTCTCTATTTTTCCCCTCCAACCCTTTTAAATTTTCCCCCAGTGGCCATAATGAGGACATATTTACTGTATAC